ACAGCCCCAAAAGTTGCAGTGGGCCCCTCTCCCGTTCCCTTCTCCGTTTGGGGGCCAGGCTAGGAACCTTTGGATCGAAAGCCGAGAGCCGCCGACCCTTCCCTGCGCCCCCCACCATGCCCTCCAATGGGCCCATGATCGACAGCAGCAGCGCCTCTGCAGACCGGGAGGCAGCTGACGCTCACAAGGTAAGCAGGGCTGGGGCCCTTCGCACAGGTGCGGATCTCCTTGCTGTGTTCCCTCTGAGCCCGACCCTCCTCCTCGGAGCCCCCACCCAGGAGAGGAATGGATGGCTTGCGAGGGTGAGGTGCCTGGCGTGGGGTTTTGCACCACCACCCTTTGCTGCGGGGTGGTGGCAGTGGCAGGCGGGGGCTCAGGAAGGCAGGAGGTGCTGGGGCTCTTCCAGGTCCGGAGAGCTACCCGGAAGAGAAGTCCTCCTTCTCACCAGTCACAGCTAGCTACCCTGTGGGACTCACTGCCACAAGGTGCCGTGTTGGCTGCCGTTGTGGAGGGCTTTAGGAAGAGGCTTGGGGAGAGTCAGGGAGAAGGGAGGGAAGAGCAGCCACTCCTGCATGGAAGCCTGCATGCGCCTTCCGGCCCCTCACCAGAGACAACGGTCTCCCTCCCTCCCTCTCTCTCTCTCTCTCTCTCTCTCTGGGGAGTGTGGGCAGAACCGGCTTTGGCCACCTGGCCATTCCTGCGGGCCGAATCCCAGCGGGTCCTGGTTGGCCGCCGAGGGAGTAAAACACTGGAGTGCAGAGGCTTCGGGTCTGATCCATAGCTCGTGTTTCTCCAGCGTTGTTAGGGTGGCTCGGTGCCGTGGGAGAGGCCGCCGGGCAGGGTCTGAATCTGAGCAAAGTGGGGAGGCCGGGTGTCTCCAGGGCCGGCCGTGTGGGCCAGACCCGGCTGTTGTTATCTGGGGGCGAGAACGAGAAAGGGTTTATAAGTGGTGCGTGTGGGAGCAGGTTGGCCTGCGGGAAGGTCTCTTGCAGGCACGGCACCCAAAGGCTTGTTCTGTGCCCGTGATGCGACCCGAAGGCAGCACTGCGGGGGGGGGGGGGCTGTGGAAGGGGCAGAGCCCCAGAGCCCCTCTCCGGAGGGAAGTGGGCAGGGATGAGTCTTTCTGCAAAGAGCCCAAGGTTCTGGTGTTTAGGCAGGCTGGCAGCCAGCGCCTGGCATGCTGTGAGCCCCTCTGGGGACTGTCCGCTGCTCTGGCCACCCGCGGTTGCTCACGGTGGTGGTAGCTAGCCGTGGCTTTCCTTAGGAGATGGACAAGTAAGCCCCTTGGCTGGAGAGGATGCTGGAAGGCAGGCAGGAAGCCCTGGGGAAAGCAGCTGAAGCTGGCAGGATATTTTCTCTCTCTCTCTCTGTGTGTGTTTTTGTGTGTATGTTTGTGTGTGTGTGTGTGTGTGTGTGTGTTTAGGTCTGCGTGGGTTCTTTTGGAGAGCTTTTTCAGGCATAACTGTAGTTGATGTTTAATTTTGGCAATTTTCTGGATAGTCCTTCGTCTGAAAATAGATTCCAGGGCAAGATGCAGATATAAAAGTTGACCACTGCTACAGCTGCAGTATTGCCCCAGCTATTAAGCATCAGAACAATAAAACAGAGAGCCAGCAGTACTGTGGAACTAATCATCCAGCAGAAAACTAAGCCTCTTGCTTCTAAAGAATAAAATGTACAAAGTGGCATTTCAGTGTTTTTTAAAAAAATTTCATTAAAAAAAAAAGTTCTTTTCCTAAGGTTGGACTCTTGTCGAGGCACGAAAGTACTGATTTCTGCATAAAGGCATTGAATCAAAGGTGTTGTTTCTGAGCTCTGGCTGATGCTTAGCTGCCCCCCCCCCCGGTTTCCACAACTCTTAGGGTCTTGGAAACAAATAATCAGCCAGCACCATTTTAATAAGAGCCTATTAAAATCTTGAGGGCTTCGGGACAGGATCAGCTTGGGTTGCTTCTGCAGATGACGTATGCCGGAATGGGAGTGCAAAGGACTCATTCTGCCTAGTTCTGCTGGGCATCTTGGTAGCATTTGGTAGCACTCACGCTGGCCTTCCCCTTGGCTGTCTGGCCAACATGAGACAAGGTCGGGGTGGTGGCCGTGATGGCAGGGTCCTGTGGCACTCTTTGCCTGCGTCCCCCTCCCAAAGACAAGTGGCTTGGCCCTGAACGGGTGGGGTTTTGGCCCCTGGGCTACTCAACAGCTGCTGGGGGCCGCTGGAGGCTGGCTCTCCTCCGTATGCGAAGGATGCCCGGCCCCCATTGTTTTCCCTCCAGTAGTGCCAAGGAGATGGCCGTGCGGACCGGAAGTGGGTGGAGAAAGCGAGGCGTCGTCCTGGGCTGTTCTTTGTCAGAGGTAGACAGCTGGTTCTGGCAGGGGTGTTCCTCCCTCAAGAGGTGATCCGTGTGCCTGGGGCCTGCCCATGCGTCGTTTCCCATTCCCCCCCCCCGGTTCCTAAGCTGCCCTGTGGCCAGGAGTACGTCTACAAGGTGTGGTGAGCATGGCGGCTGCTCCTGTCCCGAGGAAGGAAACGGAGGGCAAAGGGCGGTCCGGCTGACTCTCTTCTGGTTTGGGCCCCTGCGTCTTGCTCCACATGAGGCTGGCCTTGGAAGGGGATTGGGACCCCCAACTCTTGCAAACGGGGTGAACGGGCTTCCATCAGGAGGGCACAGAGTGTGGGCGAGCACCCCAGCAGCTTCGCTTCGGTCCAAGGTGCTGGTTTTGACCTACAAAGGCGCAAAGGGCTGGCGGGCATCCGAGGGTGGGTGGGTTCATTTTCCAAAATGGCACCCAAAGTCATTGCGAGAAATTAGCCTTAGGAAGAACCTGGCAGAAGAGCAAGAGGTGGGGTGGGTTTCCTCAGCAGGTCGGGGGGGAGGGGGGAACTCTCCTTCCATGAAGGCTTTCAGGCGGAGGTCGGGCGACTGCCCATCAAGGCTCAGCCGTGGGTTGCGCTTGGTGCTCCTTCGGATTCTGCCACCTTTTCTGCCTTGTTTCTTGTTTTCCGTGGAATTGTGTTTTCCGTGGCAACACCCGGGCCTGGCAGCTGGGAGGCAGAGGAACAGGATCAGGAGGGGTCTGGCTGCTGGATCCAGCCTCTGCTTGTCGTCTCCGCTTGCGGTTGCTGGGACCCACCTCCAGAGCCTTCTTTCCCTCTCCTGCATCGCCCTCCCTTCCTCGGGGGACACTCTAGACAGGGTTTTGTGTTTCTGCTGGGTCCACCTGCATTATGCATGGCCAAAGGCCGCCGGTTGCCTTATCCCATGGCCCATGGCCCGTTGCTTTCCAGTGGTGGGGGCAGCTTCTTCTGAAGAGGCCCGGGGTCAGTTTTCCATGGGAACATGATGGCCTTCCCTGTTCTGAAGGTGTGCTTTCATTGTGTTGGTTGTGAGCCTTTCTTGCATGAATGATGCACACACCCCAAGCTAGATTCTGTACCGTTTGGGAGACTAAAGGGCAATGAGGGTCGGTCAGCGAAAGCAGCTACCGGCCGGACCTGCCAGGAAAGAGGCTGAACTTGGAAAGGTCCCCTGTGCTTGACCACAGCCTCCTCCCCCCCCCAGCCTGAGATCCCCCACCCCAGTCAGCATGGCCACTGCTGACTGGAAGGCTCTGGTCATTCTGTTTTATTTATTTAAAATATTTTTTTATCTCACCTTTCTCCTTGAAAAGGACCCAAAGTGCCTTGCGTCCCTTCAAAGAGAAAGGTGGGATAAAAATATTTTAGATAAATAAATAAACAAACAGATCCCTAAAGTCACCTCTCCGGATTTAGAGGCTAGAGATCTCTAGCGCATCCACGGGCTGCGGGGAAGGAGGTCGGGCCTCAAGAGGGGAGCGAGGGGAGGGTCCCCGCCGTGGATGGTACACCACCTCCGGTCTATAGGCTGCTCCGTATCCTGTCAATGCCACCGGAATAGTCGGCGAACATGGTTCTCTGAGGGATGCGTGTGTGATTCGTGGACCTGGTGGCCTATAGACCTCTGAGGGATACAACTTACAGACTGAAGGGCTGGAAAATCGAACTTGGGAAAGGGCTACAAATTCATGGTCAAGAAGGGAGACGTTGATGGTCTTGGTAGGCGACCCGGGAGAAGCCTGGAGGGGAAAGAGTGCGCTCATTTATGAGGGCACGTTCTCCTGAGGCAAACGATGGGGAGACGCTGGAGGAAGAAGGCAGAAGCCGGCAGAGAGCGTCCTTCTCCAAGGCAAAAAAGCCGCCCCCTCCCCGAGGGGAAAAGGTCCAGGAGGACTGAGCTGAAGCAACCCAAGGGTCCGCCCAGGCCCCGGATACAAATCCTGGGTCAAGTCAGGAGTTACGGCGGATGCTCAGCCTGGACGCAGGAAGGTCTGCCAGGATCCGCAGGCGTGTGGCCGTTGTGAAGCCATGACACCGAAATATTTTTATTGTAGTTTAATTGTTGTAAGCCGCCCAGAGACTTTTGGGTAGAGTGGGCGGCATATAAGTTAAATAAATTAAAATACGAAGGCCTGCCTGCCCAAAGGACAAAAAATGTTCTCGGTGGGTTGGGGTGGGGGGCTCCTCCCCAGAGCCCTCCCTGCCGTTTGTCCCACATCATGGCTGCCTGCAGCTGGCAAGAGGGGGGGTGGCAGGCAAAGCAGGAGCGGATGAGTGGGGTGGAGGCTGTGGACAGGGGAAGGCCCCCCCCAAAGAAAGTCTCTGATCCGGGAGGGGTTGGGGACTGGTGGTGAGGGGGAGGGAGTGTCTGAGCCCAGGAACAGGCAGACCTCTGCGACCCCATGGCCGGAAGGTCCAGTCTGGACCTCGTCTGGAAGAGGGAAGGCCGCGGGGGGGGGCGAGCCTCTCACTCTGCCTGCCTTGGGGCCAGCCCCACACCCTGGGCCACCACACCTTGTGGCGGTGGTGGGGGGGGGGGGAGAAAGGGAGGTGGCTGCGCTCTCCGAAGGGTGGGCAGCCACTGCTGTGTTGATGCCGTGGATTCTTATCCCACTCTTATCAGCAGAATCATTTCCAGGGTGGTATGCACGGTTCCAGCAGTAAGACATAGTGGACATCGGAACGTAATTAAAATATAGCAATAAAGGGGTTTATGAGCAGGGCAGGGCAGCAGTAGCTCATAAAACCAGGCAGAAAGATTAAAAAAGAAAGAAGCCGGAACGAAACCTGAGCTTTTGCCCGTCGCCCGAACCCTCCCAGAGTGTGTGTGTG